GCCAACACCTACTGGATTTTGCCCTTCTGGGGTCCTTAGCACTCAACCTAAATTTCTGGACCACTAGGGAACTTCCAGGGAGGCATCAAGTATAGGCACCTCCAGTGTTAAGCAAATTATGAACAGGGGTCTGGGGATTGTAATTTTGGACTTAAGCAGACTTTAGGCACCTCATCTTCTCTCGATTCTGGTCCCTAGGTGGGAAGCTCCTTCTTGAAATCAGTTATGTAAGCCTGAGCCACAGGGCATACCATTGCTGGTCCTAGAAAGCACTGTTAATGGGTTTTAGAATCCATTTGCTGCATAAAAACAGACAACTGGTACTTATTAAAAAAAAATGTATCTCAACATATGCCTGCTGTGCTCAGTACAAGTCACATGGCTGAAGTGCCAAATGAAACAGAATAATCACAGATCTCAAAAAGCACTGTTAGCAGTTTAAAATCTAGATCCGTGGGTTGAGATTTTAAGAACCACCTATTTCATAGATTTCATAGACATTTGGGCTGGAAGGTACCCCAGATGATAATCAAGTCCAGCCCCCCACCCCAGGGGTAGGAAGTCAGCAGCGGTCACAGGATCCCAGCAAAATAAGCATCCAAGTGTGTTTTGAAGGCATTCAAAGTGGGCACTTGAACCTCCTCAGGTGGCAGTCTGTTCCAAACCTTGGGGGCTCAGACAGTGAAGAAGTTCTTTCTTATGTTCAGCCTGAACTGGTCACAGTGGAGTTTGTGACCATTTGATCTTGACATCCCTTGGGGCACTCTGGTGAACAGTCGTTCCCCCAGATCCTGATGAGCACCCCTGATAAGCTTATCGGTGGCCACCAGCTCACCCGAGCCTGCGCTTTAACAGGCTGAAGAGCCCCATTGCTCTCAGCCTCTCATCGTAAGGTCTGTTTTCCTGACCTCTGCTCATTTGTGTGGCTCTTCTCTGCACCCTCTCAAGCTTCTCCACATCCTTTTTGAATTGCGGAGCGCAAAACTGGACGCAGTACTCCAGCTGTGGCCTCACCAAGGCCGAGCACAGTGGGAGAATGACGTCCCAGGATCGTAACCTAAGAGTGTTAGACCCAAGAAGACATGTTCCCTCTGGAGGAAGTAGAGAGAAAAATAAGTGACACGGTATGAAATGAAATAATGACTGACAGGGTGAAAAACAGAAAGAGGAATTGTTATACATGAAAGAGGAATTGTTATACATGATCAAGACTAGTATATCTGAAGTGTCACTTCTCAGACTTGGGTATTCACCAATCTAAGCATTAAATCTACACACTATGACCCAACAAAGGAAGCTTTGTTTTCATCAAACACTCTCAGAGTCAACAAAAGCCCAAGCTGGTTCTTAAGCCAAAGAAAGTGGCTTCCCATGATTTAGTTGGAAGGGCAATTTGACTATAAATGTGCGTGTATAAATTTTGCAGGTCAGGCTAAGGAGACTACAGAAGAATGCCAAAACCTTAATTAAAACTGAAGGATGTTTTAATATCTAATGTATTACCTTACTCAGGTAGAGTTGAGTTATTTTTAAATTAATAACTAGTATAAGAGTTTTAAAGTGTGTGTTAGCATGCTTAAGATAGCAGGGGAGGGCAGGAGAGATACAGGTTAGATGCAAGACGATAACAAGGAGGGAATTAAGTGCATGTAACAAACTGATAATACAAACAGTCCTTTGCATTCATATTTTACCTATAGGCATGTTCTAGGTACTCTTGAATCATACAAAGTAAATAAAAACAAGACTGCTTACCATTAAACTAATGGTAAGAGAGCAAACACTTCTGTAAAGTAAAGTAAAGGACGAAAGAAAAATGATGGCTTACTGTATGCTGAGATCACGTCCTCTTGCTGTACCTCGACTGGGATACTGTGTCAGAATTAAGGATAAGGCTTTTAATCTCTTCCTGCATTCTAAAAAGTCTTGGCTGAGATGAAAATCCGTTGAGGCTGAGAGTGGGAGTCCGTCCCTCACCCGCACCACACAGGCAAAGAAGATCATGGACATCCTCCGCAGGGGTACTCATGAGGACAACCTGGAAACAATGAGAGCAAAGGTGAGACCGCATCATTTACATAACAGCATAATATGCACCCGGGTATCCTGTTAGAGCATCTGTTTAATGGTTTCAGCACTGGGGTACTGAACAGTACATCATCAACCTTTAAAAGTACATCTAAGAAGTTTTTAAGTTCTTTAAAAAAAACAAACCACAACCTGGAATTGTACCCTTTTTCTGCTTCCTGTTAATATATAAAAATATCCTCAAAAGTTCTCTCCTTGGAAGAATTCATCAACTTTTTCCTCTCCATTTACCCCAAAAATGTCAGCAACATTGAGGGATGTTTCTAAAAGTACAAATGGCAGCTGGGCACCTACTTCCCTAAGACAAATGGTAATTTCAACAGTCTTCCAGGCATTTGGTACTGTAGTCAAGACCTGCATTTCTAGCATGAACACAGATATGAAATAAGCATTCTGACTGACATCACCTAGGCCTTCTTTATAGGTTACATAAAAAAGAAGAGAAGACAACCTTAATTCTATTTAGTAGGTCATTTCACAGCAAATTAAGCATCAGAACTTACCTAATGCATGCAAGCAGCATAGAAGATATGTCCCTCAAAGTAACCAGGTGTTCAGTAAAAATGCCAATACAGGTCTTACAAGGTTCTTTGGGTAAATAGGATATCTTTTATTAGACCAACTAAATAGTTGGAAAAATAGTTCTTTGCAAGAACACAAATCATTCTTTGCAAGACACAAACCCTCTTCTTCAGGCAGAGGGAGAGTCTCTTCCTACTGAACAAGGGTGTTGGTGCCTGAAAGCCTACCAAAAACAATTTATCTAACTATTTAGTTGGTTTAATAAAAGATATCACATTTACCTAAAGAACTGTGTCTGCCCATGTCCTTAGACCAAAACGGCTACAACCAAGAACCCTAAATAAAGGTCTTAGGCCCCTACCGCACTACTGCATTTAGGTGCTGCAACGTCTCATTCTAGGCATCTAGACCCCAGAGCAGAATCAAAAACCCACTTAGGTGTCTAGGCTCCCTCTGCAAATCAATAGGGAGTCAGGCGCTACAGACAGATCCAAAAACCCTGCACACTGGGTAGGAAGATGTCTAGAGCCACCCAACGAGAAACATTAAGCACATGGGTACATCTGAACTTCCACTGCTCTCCAGGCTTAGGCGACAAGGCCTCGTCTAACCTAGGCTGCTTCACATGTCAGAAGTTCCTCTAGCAGACAAGAAGGTGTCACAAGAGACAGAGCCAGCTCGGACGCATGGTCATGGCTCTCATCAAAACTACATGGCACCCCTACAGCAGCCACACCAGTCGAAGGTGAACAATACTCACAGGTTTGCTGGCAAACCTATGCCAAGCCAAAGTCAAAGCTGTATGCAGGTAGCTCCATCTATGCCAAATGCAGATCTCACAGTCACCCCTTGAGATTAAAATGCCGTCTATGATTCATTGAAAGAACTATGCCAGCAGTCACTGTTTTTCTCTTCAAATGTAGCTGCCAGGGCAGGAGAAAGAGGTGGTGGCATTGCCATCTTTCTACAACAGCCTAGCAGCTAGAGCACTTGCCCAGGAAAATGGAGACCCAGTTCCATGCCCTCATTGACATCAGGGGTTTAAACCAACATCTCACAGGACAGCGCCTGAACCACCAGGGCAAGAGGAATGAGCAGCCTCTGTGGCATGCAGAGGATTGGGGAGGCAGCACAGCAGTTTTTTTCGCTGATGCTGATGGCTGATTATTAACTAGCCATATCGGCCAATACGAATCCAATAGCCAATATGCAGCCCGGCAGCTTGGAGAGCAGCATCCTGCCTATAAGTCTGATGGGGGAGGGAAGAGGCGTGGGTGGAGGGAAAGGACGTTGTGGGGTGCAGATTGAGGCCCCCATGGTGAGGGAGGGAATGGGGCAGGGCAGTGAATGCAACCCCACTGGGAGCGGGGCAGAACTGTGAGCAGCTTGTCGGGGGGGG